GTGTACAATACCAAACAAAAGCTTTTATGCAAGTCTCACTTTGCTCTGCATAGACCATTTATTTATAAGCAGCCTCTTCTAACTCTCTATGCTTTGATTTCTTTAGTTTACTTTAAACACTTTGAACTGTTCTTCTTTTCTCTCACTTTGTGTTCTGTTTTGTTCACTTTTCTTGATCTATTTAACCTAATTTTTTTCCATGTTAAGATACCCCCCCTTTCTCTATCTGGTTTAACCTGACTACTTTTGCTGGTAGACATTTTTTTGCAATTCATAAATATTCAATATCCAAGAGGGAAAAATTGCAAATAAAAATTACAAATTAATTTTGTTTAACAGTATTTACTTTTCTAAAGGTCAGATAATAATAATAACTTAAAAGAAATACGAAAGTTTGGTATTTTGTTAGCTGTCAATCATGCCTACCAAGACAGCTTGGTGATTTATTATTATTATTAACAATAGTAATCATTTTATTTATACATAGGAACATGTTAGTGGTTAATTAGTAGGTACTGAAATTGTACACTATATAAAGCCACAAATACGCAAAATGTTTTGGCAATTAATTTAAAATAATTTAATTATTTCTGACCCACCAAGGGTTTCATTCCACTGGTCCATTTGAATAAGGTTCCACTACAGAGAGAAACTATAATATAACCTAATTTACTCCATGTTAAGATATAATAATAATCCGTGTTAGATATATTCCATATATATATATGATCCAAAACAAAGCTTTACAAAAAAAATTGTACATGTACTTTAACGGTATAGATAAGAGCACTTTACCTGTGCCTTATAAAGCAGTAAAGTATAGTGAATGGGTTGGGTGTAATTTAAAATGTTATTTTTACCATCTTTCCATATATTCCATTCCTATCGTCAGGAAAATGTCTCCCCCCTTCCCCCCCTCCCCACCTTAAAAAATGTGTGTGTGTGATTGTTGTTGATATGTTTCTATGGAATGTATGGCAAGGGGGCTGTATTGTGAAGCTACATCACCACTGTACTGTACTGTACTGTAATTTTGTTGGATGTGACTTGTGCACATACATAACACATGTGTATGCTTCTTGCAGGAGCCTATATGAGAATGTGAGAAGAATGAGCATTTCCCCACTGTAATTATCACAAAAAAGAAAACATTCCTGTAGTTTATATACAGTACCTGTAAAGATAAACTTATTGAAGTCATGTTTGAATGTTAACATGTATGAAGCTTTAAATAAATGCAATCAGTTATACACAGACATTCATACATAAAGCTTCATACTCCAGAAGCTTGTTTCCCCATGTTGTGTAGTAAAAACTGACCTTCACTTAGGATAAATTATTTTTTTGGCTAGTAGTTCAGTAGGTTTTATCCAGCTTAATTTTTTTCTCCCTCTTGCCTATAAAGAGATCTTCCCATTCTTTAATTTCTTCTAGTTTCTTTTTTTATACTTAGTGCATCTCTATATATTTAACTTTTTCTACCTTTGTACTATTTTCCCTTAACACTTTCATTCCTTTGTTTATTTATTTTCTTATTATTTTTGTGCCTTTTTCTCCCTTTCCCATTTTATCTCCGTTTCTAAGCACCCACTTCCTCGTGTGTATGTACAGTACTCGAGGGCAGTCGTATAGTAACTCTTTACACACACACACGTTGTGTTTATCTATCGGTGTTGCCTTGCAGTTTGACATTAATTATGTGCCTTAAGGTATTTATATGTCTGTTGCTTGCAGTAATTGTGTATAATAAGAACACGCGCATAAATTATGTGGTGCTGTATTTGCCTTAGACATTAGTATGCCCAGATTGATGTCCAGTAGTCTCAGGGAAATATTTAAGGCAGCTACTGTGTGTAGTGTAACAATTTCAACCAAATGCTGTAATGCTCTTTGTTACAATACAGTGATATGTAATATCCCTGTACCTATTTCATTAGACAAGTGATACAGTAACAATAATTTCATAGGTTAAAATGATTGAAATGTGTAATATTTCTAAAGTGATTGGTTTGACACCCAAGCTTAGGCTGTTGCCATGGCAGTGCCTTCATGCAAGCTATATTGAACCTTCACGAGACAAGAGCAATACTTGGTCAGCCTCGATCAAACAGTGTAAACTTGTTACTCAGAATGTTAGCCGTTAGTTAAGGTACAGTAAGCTTGCATTTTACTTGTATTTTGTGATTGTTCTCTCTTATTTGAAGAATAACAATTGTTGAAAATACCATGGGAAAAACATTTTGAAACTAATCTAAATTTTTAATAAAGGGTTTTAAATGCCTTTCATGTGTAGCATATTCTTTATTATCTTTAAAATGAAAATTCTATTGTGCTGTGAGGCATTATACTACTTCAGTTGTATTGTACTGTAATTGAAGTGGTGTAAGAAGAACTGTCCGCAAGAGCTACGGTGTAGGCAGAACTTTCACAAAATAGGCTATATTGTGTGCACTTAAAGAAGAAATTAAAAAAAAATATTGGATAAACTAATTTGTTGCTCTACATGGAATGGACCAAGTCTTGCTCATTACCTTGACGATTGACATTGTAGCTTCAGATCAAGAAGCAGAACATTGCTTCATGCCAGTCATTCTGTTTAACATATTTTCATTATGAAAGAGTGGTAGATCCTTGATCCTGCTATATGTATAAATAATATACAATGTATATCTGATAAATTTTGCAGTTGTATCTCAAAATGGGATGTAAATTTTTACATTGTTGAATATGAAAGCATATCAAGTATTGATTTATTCATGTAGCCAAGCAGAATTATTTTTGTTTTGTCTTCCATCCTTTCTTTAAATATGGTTATGTCAGCAGTTTTGTAATTTGTGATAAATTTCTAATCTATGATTTTGTTTAGGAATTGTGTAAATATTTAAAATGCTTAAAACATAAATGAACACCTAAAATTCAGTTTTTTGTTGTCAAGAACAAGTGTACACTTTTGGTCTCCAGAATATGTATATAATTTAATAAAAGTTATCTTTCTGGGTGAATTGTTTGCATGTACTGTACTTTAATTTTTCTTAAGTGAATAATTTTAGCCTCATTATAAAATATGAATATTTGTTTTCCTAGATTTATTTTCTCTAATATAAATATTATATTAAATTAACTTTATACTTATTAATCTTAAAGTAGTTGAAGGAGTTGCATGTTTTCTATTCTCTCATAAAAAAAAAACTTAGATTTTAACTACAGTACAAGGTAAAGGTAGTAATTACCCTTATAATTAAACATCTATTTTCCCAAAGCTATTGCTTTTTTCAAGCAAATGCTTAGAGAGCTCTGTATATCGAATCTGCAATTTTGAGCTTTCAAAAAACTGAAGATGCCTAGCTTCCCAGTGTGGCTACTTAACAGCACAAATGAGGTGTAACCTCTCATTGTACCCTCATGTTAAAGCTATCCCTTTGGCTGGATTCTACCGCAGTTACCATGTAGGACTACTCTGTTCTCACTTTACACCAGTAAGTGTGCCATACCTATAGGCTTGTCATGCAGCACCCTCTGTTACCCTAGACCACAAGGAACCAATGTGACACATTTGCATGACCTCACTAGAATAACTAAAGCACCGCTGTTACTAGTGAAGTACAGTACCAGTATTTTGTAATCTTCGATATACCTTTTGTCAGATTTAATAATTAGTAATACCTCTTGATCAAATTGTTACTCTAGTGATTCTTGCTCTGACATTTCCTTGATCAGTGTCTGAATTTCAGGATGATAGTCCTACTTTTCCACTATCCCTTGACAGAATCCCTTGTGAATTTGATACTTTTGACATTACAGGTACTTAGTCTTGTCTTTGTCTTTTTGCTCTCGTATTGGCATCCTCAATGATACTTAGGACGTTTTGAAATTTTTCTCGACACTGCTAAATAGTTTTCCCAGCTTTGTGCATTTTTTTTTATATTTACTAAATGCATTTTGATCTGTGTTTGGGAGGATATTGACTCTTCCTCAAGCCTTGAAACTCTCAGCTCAGTAGGTACTGTATGTTAAAGAATGTTCACTAGACATTAGTTCACTAGTCTCAAGGTGACATTTCCATTATCTAGTTCCTCTACAGGGTTAATGACAGTTCTGTATAGCTTGTTACAATTGCCATCTTTAGTACCTTTCCCAGCTTCTAGAGTCATTCCCCACCTCGTATGTACTAGACAGCCCAGAGAACATTTTTTTGTTACAGGAAGGCTATTGGAGTAATTTTGAGATTACAATTTTTAGTTTCAAGGATGAAACCTAGTGACATTGGGTGGCAACTGCCATTTTGATGAACTGTCTGCTCACCTAGCATAAATTAGGTATCTGGAGGCTAGGCAACTGTTGTGGGTAGAGTCCAAGGCAGTCGGTAGTTAACCTAAAGGGAACCTCAATATACCTAAGCACAGACATCCTGTCCCTCCTACAATGAGAATTATAAATTATTTTGTAACCCATGGATTGTTAAATTTCAGACTTCATACATATCTCATAGCTATGTCAAAGCTCAACTCTATCAAAATCTTTGTTGATTTTTTATGGGGTTGATGGATTTTGATGAACATAGGAAAGTCGGTGTCTGTAGCCCTGGCTCCGTTAGGCCCAGGCCAGGATCCTTTGGCGACTCTCCTAACTGACCCTCTCTGTTCCCCTCCCACTTTTGTGGCAGGGTTGAGTCCCCAGTTGTAACCAACATGTCGCCTGGAGTGGCTCCATCTCGTGTTGTGACAACGGCTCCTTTTAACCAATCCCCGATCACCACTAGAGTTCCCTTGTGCATTCATCAAACTCGCTAACCAAAAGCTAGCTGGTTTATTATTCAAAATATTACTGATAATTATATTGATATATTCCAGGTGTTTAGGTATGAAGAAAATTAAGACCTTAAACAAAATAGAGTACAAAATACACCTATTCATAGTAGGAAAGCATTATATAAAGGATCTTGGAAGAATGTCAGACAACCTAACGTTTAGGGAGCAATTATTAAATACAGCTTCGGTTAAAAAAATTATAAGATGGATTACAAGAACCTTTATATCTAGGAATTCCAATCACAATTTAAATCGCTTGCCTTGTGCACTTTTGTTCTTGTATTGGCATCCTTGGTGATGTCTATAGTGCCTATTGATAATCGTGCAACTTTGATGGTGCTACAGTCTCCTCGGCTTGGCACCTTTTGATCATTATTTACTTTAGTCAAATCACTTTTGCTGTCCTTCGAGAATTGTTTTATATTCACTTCCCCCTTCAGAGCAGGCAAGATCGCTGTAATGAGAGGGATAGAGAACATGTCTGACACACAGCCATGATAAAGCACCTAAATTATAGTACTGTACTCTGATCACCTCAAAGCTCTCAAAATACTTCTTGCACCTTTCTAGAGAATATATCAAATAAATATACATGGAAAATACTGAAGGGCCAGGTGCCAAATTTGCAGTCAAACATCATACTGGAATGAATGATATGGAAGGAAATGCAGAATAAAGCCAGTGAAGAGTAGGTGCTATAAGCACAGAGTACACTATACGAATATCGGAGGCCCACAATTGTTCAACATCTTCCCAGCAAGTGCAGTTTAAGAAATATTTTGGGAACAAAAGTGGAAGTCAAGAAAAATGGACAATTTGCTGCAACAAATGCTAGACCAACCGGTCTGTAGTGGATATGTGGGTCACTCTGAGCAACAGCCTCCCGGACGTTTGACAAATTTCTCAAGTCATGCCTGACCCTTGGCTGGGAGGTAGAACTCCTAGAACACCCATCCAGGTACCATGAGTTGTTGAATCACCCGCCACTCTAGACTACAGGTTACTAATATTGTGTACTACATTGTGTAAAAATCTTCAACACCTACTTCAAAGTTATGAGAAACTCCATGTCAACCAATGTCAACACACCTGTTCATAGATACCATGTTAATAAACTTCTTTACTGTGGTATGGTAAAAATCTTATTTCCGGAACGGAAGAAGTTCACTTATGGGTTAGTATAGAGTAATGATGAGGTTAGACATCACAAATGGTTAGAGGAATAATGAAACGGCATTGAATTACGTTGTCACACATCTTGGTCTATTTAAGTCTAGGACCATGGGCCCTTACACCAAGGCACAGAGTAGGAAAGTAAATTAGACAGCAGCTGTATGCCTTTGGATGATGACCTTATGCATATACTGTATACAACCTGTATAACCTCAGGCATGACCTGCTTTGAGATCAGAGCCAGATGATCCATGAGGTCCTGCACTTTTGCTGCTTGGTATCTGCAAAAGATTGTGTCTTTTGTTGTCATTGTTTCACGATAGATTAACATATCACACACAGAGATCACACATGGGCCGTGACGAGGATTCAAACCTGCGTCCGGGAGCATCCCAGACCCTGTCGTAGCTCAGTCGATTAAGGCAGTGTCTGGGATGCTCCCGGACGCAGGTTCGAATCCTCGTCACGGCCCTTGTGGATTTGTTCATTTGATGCATCACGTTAGTGTGATCTCTGTGTGTGATGATGTAAGGGCGAAGAGGGAGAACGGCCTATTGACATAGCTCGAGTGCAGGGGGGGGTTGTGTAAAAGCCTGGTTTGTGCTTCGGAGAGGCTACGGGATCCAGCAAGTTCAGTAGAACTTTGGTTTCAACCCTTTTAACCCTGTCGTAGCTAAGTCAATTAAGGCAGTGTCTGGGATGCTCCCGGACGCAGGTTCGAATCCTCGTCACGGCCCTTGTGTATTTGTTCAGATTAACATATACTAGATGTTGCTTCCTCTTAGAACGTGTGGATAATCTTGTCACTTGGAGGGCTGGTATCTTGAGTTGTCTTTATCTACCCTGCATCATTCCCCAATAATCATTCTGCAATACAGAGAAGTGTTATTCCAATTTATGCAAGTTCTTTAGGCGAAACCAAGTGAAAAAGTTTAGAAAATTGCTTTTTAATACAGTATATAAAGTGCCATTTCTTAGAGCCTGTTACCCCTGTCCCATCCCTTTACTGCTTATCCGAGGGCCACCATCTCTTGGTGACCTTGATGGGGACTGGATTTTTTAATGCTTAGTGTTTTGGCAGACTGTGTTTGCTCATGATCAGGAGAAGGCTGGTCCCTGTACCTCTTGTCTGTTTCCCCCTTTACTCTTGTCCCCCCCCCCCCCCCCCAAGATGAAGATTTTCTATGTGCTGGTGGCCACTGCTTTTCAGCTGGTGAGCTGGGTATTTTAGCATTGTGATTCTATTCCACTGTGGGCCTGCGAGCTCTGTGGGTATAGGCTTTGTGGACTCGTGGTTAAGGTAAGGGTTCTGTGGTGCCCAAGTCTCATCAGAGGTATTTGAAATCTTTTTGGAAGGGAGAAGAGATGCTCATTGGGGCTCTTTGTTCCAGCCCTTTTTTAGGTTCGGCCCTTTGATGGTTTGGTAGGGGGATGATCAGGCACCTTCTCCCATCCTTGAAATACAAACATCTAGGCATTGTGTGGAGTCATGATTTCTTCATTGAGGGGAGGAGGCAGTCCTAAACACCTTTGGTGTCACAAGTGCCCTTGCTTCTTTGCAGGGAATCTGTATTCCCTAGAGAGCCGGCAAGAGAGAAATAATAATTTATACACAAAATACTAAGACCGTGCAGATTTGGAACTGCACAAAAGCCACATGGGACCAGAGAGCCAGACCAAATACCAATTCCAGAGCATGCCATAGAATATATAAAGATATCTCAAGCCGAAGTGGAAAAATTACTCATGGGGCTAGGATGAAATAGCGGTTGGACCTGATGGAGTTTCATCTTGGGTGCTGCGAGAATGTGCAACTGAGCTGTGCATTCCACTCCAATTAATTTTCCAGACATCCTTGTGCTCAGGAATCTTAGCAGATACATGGAAAAATGCAAACATATAGTACCAATCTATAAAAATGGTAATTGAGAGAAATCTCTAAATTATAGACCCCGTATCATTAACAAGTATGGTACTGTAGTCAAAACACTAGAAAAAATAGTTAAATCCAATTGGGTTGAAGACCTTGAGAGTAATGACATTATAACGTACAGACAGCATGAGTTTCGATCAGTTAGATCCTGTGTGTTTTTTTTTTTTTTTTTTTTTTTATAAAAACAGATACTACAGGAAAGAGGTGATTGGGTTGACTATGTCCATCTGGACCTAAAAAAGGCTTTAGATAAGTCTCTCACAAGAGGCTGTTCTGGAAATGGGAACATGCTGAAGGGGTGACTGGGAGATTTCTGACATGGATGAAAATTTTTCTAACAGATGAGGGCAGTATAGAGAGTATATATATTATGCCCATAATATACCCACTCCAAACTCATTAGCTTAATGAGATGGGTTTGCAGGTCTACATAATTCACTAATTACAATTAATACCTCTTCCTAAGTGTACAGTTCATACCTTTTCCCTAACCTGCTACGCTACAGTTCGAGGATGGCGAGGTGTGGACCGATTATACAAGCCGTCGATAGCATATAATCAGTTTACGGGCAATTCATGCCCATGCCATCTCTTGGGTGGCTTAATCTTCAATCAATCAATCAATAATCAGTACACAACTGGACACCCTCGTATATACTGTCTAGCAGTATCCTCCCCCTGCTATAGCAGCCTGACAATTAAATGCAACATCAGCACACTATACATTTACTAAAAAAAATAAAAAAAAATTACCAATTACAGGCAAACCTGCCAAACCATGCTCGTGCCACCTCTTGGGTGGCTTGCCCATCATCAATCAGTCGTCTACTTTCAAGAGTGGTTTAGTACAGATGCTTGAGAGATATCGCACCCTTCAACACTGACTCTCGGTGCACTCTACTTGCTTAGCATTCAACTCTCTATCACATAATTTCTAGCAAAGTTTCACCTGCAACCTTCTATATACAGTACTACATTCGTCCAAATATATATATTCCCTTAGTGTCTGTGCTTATTGTCACCATATTTGAAGTAACAACAAACTTTAGAGCAGTAATCTGACTGGAGGAGCATTACTAGCGGAATACCACAGGGTTAAGTTTTTGCAGCAGTAATGTTCATTGTCTACATACACGATCTTCCAGAATGATTACAGAATTATATGAATATGTTTGCGGATGATGCTAAGATACTGGGGAAGGTCCCCAGTATCTTCTTTATCAGAAGATAGGAGATGCAGATGATTGTGATGCCTTTCAAACTGATATAGATAAAATAAGTGCTTGGAGTGTAAGTGGCAAATGGAATCCAATGTAAATAAATGCTATGTTATGGAATGTGGAATTGTAGAAAATAGACCACACACAATTTACAAATTATGTGGAAAGGAATTAGAGCTAAAAAAAATGAAACCTAGGGGTGTTTTTGGATCGTAAACTGTCACCAAACGAACACACAAAGAACATTGAGAGAGGAGTGTATGTGTAGCAAGTTCAAGTATGTTTATTGAGACAAGAAAAAATACATTTCAAAGGGATAGAGTAGCTTAGGCTATTTCTACCCTCCTTGTCTGCGTAGCTTTCCAACTTCAGACTTGCTTTTAATTTTATGGTTGGTGAAATACTGTACTAATGAAACTGTTCATGACTTTCATGAGACCAAAATTGAAATATGCAGCAGTTGTATGGTGCCCAAATATCAAGAAGCACATAAACTGGAAAAGGTGTAACGGCATGCTTCAAAATGGCTTCTGGAACTGAAAAACAAGAGTTACAAGGAGAGACTAGAGGCGTTAAATATGGCATAACTAGAATATAGAAGAAAAAGTTATATGATCATTACTTACAAAATACTAACAGGAATTAACCCAAATTGACAAAGAGGAATTCCTAAAACCAGCAACTTTACGAACAAGAGGATACAGTTTCAAGCTAAGGAAACAAAGGTCCCAACAAAACTATTAGGTTTTCTTTTGCAAACAGTCATAGATGAAACAAGTAAAGTGAAAAGGTGGTGGAGGCCAAAACCGTCAGTAGTTTCAAAGCATTATACAGTATACTGTATTATTTACCCAAATTCAAAAAAATTCGGTAGAATTGAATAAATTTGTGCCCAAGTACAGTACATGAATTATTTAAATATTTAAACTTTTTTTTTACAAAGAAGAAACTTTTATTTCAAATATTTTCATAATTGTGTTAGTGATGACCCAGGGCTAAGAGAATTGCACTCTTAAAGAGTTAGGGGAGCAATAAAGATTACATAAATAAGAAACTATTGATTCTATGTTTGCCAAATTTTCTGTGGTGCTGGCTAATGAGCCCAGCCATCCTGGAAAAAGTGCAAGGTAATAATAACTTACAGTGGGACTGTTAGACATCAAACCCATGATGAGTGTAGACGTCAGTCATAGAGGTCTGGACGATGCCTGGTGGGCTTTCTGCGGGATAGGTGAATTGCGAGGATAGCGTGGTCCTCGGAGGTTAGGTCACTAAGAGGAATGATCTCCCCTTGGGCTGGTACCTCACCTAAACTAGTTCCAAGACTGCGCATTTCACATCTGTAAAATGTCGCTTAACAATTACTAAACTTTGATGAAGGAAATTTACTACATATTCATTATAATGGTGAATGCATTATAATTTGTTTAATCATAAATAAAAAATATATCTTGAGCATTATATTGCATTTTTCCTCTGATAATATGAGCATAAACACAAAAGCCTTTACATATTAACATGAATGAAAAATTTTCTGAAAACAAAAAATGAAGGCAGTAATCAGAGGAAGTGTATCAGACTTGCAGGGTTCAGTTCTTGCACCAGTAATGTTCATTGTCTACAAACAATCTACAAGATGGAATACAGAATTATATGAACATGTTAGCTGATGATGCTAAGATAATAGGGAAGATCAGTAACTTAGATGAATGTCATGCCCTACAAGAAGACCTGGACAAAATAAGTATATGGAGCACTACTTGGCAAATGGAATTTAATGTAAATAAATGGCATGTTGTGGAATGTGGAATAGGAGAACACAGACCCCACACAATCTATAAATTATGTGAGAAATCTTTATAGAATTCTGATAAATAAAGAGATCTATGGGTGGTTCTAGATAACATAACATAACATTTTATTTAGGAAAAGTACATACATAGATGCAGAGTTACAAACATACTGTTGGATTTATAGATAGAGCTAGTACATACAATACCTAAAGCCACTAATATGCATAGTGTTTTGGGCAAGGTGTGGAGGAAAACACTTAGACTAAAACTTAATAGAAAACTATCCCCTGAGGATCACAAAGAACTTGCGCGAGGGGCCTATGTTACACTTTCTAACTTCAGAATTGCTTTTAAATACATGGATGGCAAAATATTAAAGAAATTGTTCACGACTTTTGTTAGACCAATGCTGGAATATGCAGCAGTTGTGTGGTGCCCATATCTTAAGAAGAACATCAACAAACTGGAAAACGTGCAAAGACATGCCACTAAGTGGCTCCCAGAACTGAAGGACAAGGGCTACGAGGAGAGGTTAGAGGCATTAAATATGCCAAAACTAGAAGAAAGAGAGGCGATATCACTACGTACAAAATAGTAACAGGAATTGATAAAATTGATAGGAAAGAATTCCTGTGACCTGGAACTTCAAGAACAAGAGGTCATAGATTTAAATTAACTAAAGAAAGATGTCAAAGAAATATAAAAAAATTCACTTTCGCAAACAGAGTGGTAGACGGTTGGAACAAATTAGGCGAGAAGGTGGTGGAGACCAAAACTGTCAGTAATTTCAAAGCGTTATATGACAAAGAGAACTGGGAAGACGGGACACCACGAGCATAGCTCTCATCCTGTAACTACACTTAGGTAATTACTTTGGCAGAGACAGTCAACAAATGTCACCAAATTCCAAATTGAATAGCACTGTATCTTGTGCTATTCAATCCCCCAATATATGTACCCAAGCCATTCAACCTCACCACTGTAATCATTGCCATCATCTTACATCATGGTTGTTATATTGTATGCCTATTTTACTGCATTATACCTAGATCTACTGGGTTGCATCCCTTAGAATTGGAGCTTGTTTCTTGAAGAGTCAAGCCTGGATGTGAATGGAAACCGGTGAAGATTAAAAACTAGTTAAACAAGATGTTTATTTATATTTTAAATATTGGTGAGCAGTGGTTCTGTATGCAGTCTGTCTTCAAAACAAAGGGCCCAAATCAATTATATGCAGGAGTCATTCTCCGTATTTATGAAATGAGTTTATGCTTGAATGTCAATTAGAAGTCATGTAATCTCAAAAGGGCTTCCCTCAAATGAATGTTTAAGGTGCATTTCTCGAAGTGATTCACAATTCGGACAACTATGCATCAAAAGTTTAAAGGTGATATAAACTAGTAACACTTGGCCCCCCTGTTTAAATCTCTAAATATGCTTAACATACTCACTCCACACATTCTCTTGTCCTATTTACATTTACAAAACCCTGTTCTTAAATGCAAACCCTGTTCTGAAACTCTTCCTGGACAGATGTAATAGAACCAATAATCACCACACCAGAAATAAGTATCTCTCTAATATCCCGAGAGTCAAACGTAATCTGTGTAAACACACTATGCAAATAAAGGGACCTGGTCTATGGAACTCACTCCCCAAAGAATTGAAAAGCTGTCCAACTTTTGCCTTATTTAAAAATATAACCAAAAAGTACCTAATTTCATCTTCATAGTTTCCTACCTAGTGCTTTAAACTTGCACTGTATCTTGTGCTATTCAATCCCCCAATATATGTACCCAAGCCATTCAACCTCACCACTGTAATCATTGCCATCATCTTACATCATGGTTGTTATATTGTATGCATATTTTACTGCATTATACCTTGAAATAATCCTCAAATTTTCTTACAATGTACCTGTTAAAAAATGTTAAATTTTGTTAGAAATTACTTAAAATTATTTGTTAGATTGAGGGCCTGCCCGAAATGCTATGCGTGTTAGTGGCTTTACAAGAATGTAAAAACATCAATGCTATGTTCTCTCATAACTCCAATGTACCTTCTTGTATGTATATAAATAAATAAATAAAGTAATTTTGGAATATATATAAATAAAGCCTATGCAATATTTTGTTGGAAAATGAAAAATTACAATTGGAAATCAATAGATTAATAAACATGGAGCTTGTGAAACCCACCTTTCTGATAACTATTCAATTGTACAAGTCTCTGGTGCACCCCTGTCTGAACTACCGAACCCATGCACAGACCTCACCATTGAAAGGACTCCAAACACTTACCACCCCACCACCCACCCACTCCCCATGCCCACCCATCCACACCCCTGACACCACCCACCCACTCCCCATGCCCACCCATTCACACTCCTAATACCACCCAATCCTCACCCCAGCCACCACCCAATCCTCACCCTAGCTACTATCCCAATCCTCACCCTAGCTACCATCCCAATCCTCAACCATGACATGCTCCCATCACAATCCCTATTACCCTCCTTTCCCTTCACACACCATACAAGGAATTTATACTTAATGCCTACCCTAACTCATCCAATTCCTGGCCTGTCTCTTACAGATGGAATAAGGATCGAGACTGGGATTAACTGACTGAAAGACTCCATGCCTTATGGAGATTAACTAAGAATGCCTTCCTTCCTGCCGGTCTATGCCTGCTATACAACAGCAATGGCAAGGGAATATGTGAGGGAATGACCACACGAATCAAAGCCAATGGCTACAGATGGCAAGTGTCAAGGAAAACACCACCACAACTAGTCCACCAATTATACTAATTAATATATGTGAAATTACCTTGCTCTATTAGAACTTTGAAATTAAAGAGGATTAGCTCTACAAGAATGATCATAGCACTGCTGACTAGGGCAGTGTGGATCACAGCAGGACACTAGTGAGCCATCTGGACATTTTGATTGCTTTATATGGTGGATTATGACTCAAAAATGGGAACCCGAGATGCCGTTCAGATGATCAAGTGTTCATATACTGTAGTGGGCATTAGTATAACGGTGACTCTGTACCAACATTTATTAAGTTTGTATTTATTTATATATACAAGAAGGTACATTGGTTTTGTGAGAGTCATAACATTGATGTTTTTACCTTCTTGCAAAGCCACTATATAACCCATCCTTCTGTTTAGATAGTACCTATTGTGACAATCGTCAATAGTTACGAATTCGTATGTACTTAGCTTTTAGATAGTATATTGACTAGTAAGGAATTCTTAAAATAACAAATGAAGCTAAAAACAAACCTAAATATTCCTAGGCCTAATATAGCACACATATATATACTATATTAGGCCTCAGATATTGTGTTGTATTAGGCCTAGGAAGGTTAGGTTAGGGTAGATTGTCAGAGCAACACAAGTAAAAAAATTGTTTTCCGTTTTGCCCAACTCAATAGTTCAGATTTCTACTTTTTAATGTGTTGTACGTCGGTATACAGTATATACTATGGTCCTCATCGTTACTATAAGTACTACCAAAACAGGAGGATGAGCTGATAACATGCATAGTATTTCGGTCAAGTCCTTAATCTAACATAATAAATAATTTGTAGCAAAATTTTATGAATATTAATAGGTACATTGTAGTAAAATTTGCATTCAGCATAAATATGATATAAGTTGATGACAGTGATTACACTTGTGAAGTTGCATGTCTTAGGCACAAATATTAGGGGAGTGGGTAGCACAAGATACAGTTAACTTGAAGCACTAGTTAGGAAAGTATGAGGATGAAATTAGGTACTTTTTGGTTTTACTTTTAAATAAGGCATAGGTTGGACAGCGTTTGAATTTGTTAGGGAGCGAGTTCCATAGATCAGGTCCCTTTATTTGCATAGAGTGTTTGCACAGATTTAGTTTGACTCTGGGAATATCAGAGATATTTATTTCTGGTGTGGTGATTATGGGTTCTATTACATCTGTCAAGGAAGAGTTCCAGATCAGGATTTGCATTTAGGAACAAAGTTTTGTACATGTAAATAGCACAAAAGAAGGTGTGGAGTGAGTGTGTGTTTAGCATGTTTAGGGATTTAAACAGTTTAAACATGTAGACAAACAACCCACATCTTTTTTTTTTTCCTAACCTGTGCTGAGCAGGGGTTTTATGGGTGTTATTCAGGATGCTGGTATGTGTGGAGCTGTTGGTGGCAGAGAGTTGGGTGCACAGTTGGCGCGGCTGGTGACGATGGTTGGCAAGGGAAAGTACAATGGTGGGGGCGGTGACATCACTGGGTTTGACTACCATTGCGGCCTCTCCAGAAACACTTACTCCTGTTTATATCAAAGGAAAAACAAACCTTTAAGACACCCGACCCACACACACACATGAAAACAAAGGAAACAATTGCATTTTGGTTCATCTTGGATCATTATCGGGTCTAGGACGACTTGATAATGGTCCAGGATGGACTGAAACTTCGTCACTTCCTTTCTTTTCCTGTGTGTGGGTTGGGTGTCGAATTTTTAATCATATTATTGTGACTTAATCTCTGCAAAACCTTAAAAAACATATACAATTATTTTGAAAATTTCTAGGAATATAACTCATGTCAAGCTTGGTCATTTCTGCTTAGAAGAATTTATTATTTCAAAGCAAGAAATAAACACCCACTTGTCCCACACCAAGAAGGCCTGGGTTTGAACCCTGGGCAGAGTGGGATAGCTGAGTAATGTGCAGCTGTTTGAGACCTGGTTGCAAAATAATTGTGTAACAGGGATAATAATAATAATTTATAATAATAATTCATTGTGTCATGAGATAGGAAACCAGAATGTATTCATACATGTTAGGCTTTTATCAAGGCCGTTCCTCCCCCCCAAGGTTGAATTACTGACTTCACAACAAGTTGATTAACTCCTGAGTACCTATTACTGTTAGCTGAACAGGGCATTAGGCAAAACGAAATGTGTCCAACCATTTCTGTCCCTGTTGTAAATTACGTCGCTGTTCCCTTGTTTGCACTACGGCCAAAAATGGCTGTACAGTAATTTGAAAATGAAAAATAATTGATTTTTTTTTTCAAAACATCAAGTTAAGGGTCCTCTGGTAGGGTAGGAGGGCAGGAAGTTCTCCTAAGGTTTCAAAACATCATGAAAACCCTTAATTTAAAGTTTCCTATCCTAACGTAACAGCCTAAGCCAGAGGACCCAAAACAGAAAGCAAGACAGTACATCACTTTTGCGAGCCCCTTCCATTTAAAATTACGTCCTTTGTTTAGCCTGAGTGCGCATATGAGCAAAGAGGACAGTTGAAAGGCTTTCACAGGTTGGTTTTCAACAAGCCAACTAACCAAGCCTAAGTACCTACTCACTGCTTGGTGAACAGAGGCATTAGGTGAAGGAAATGTGCCCAACCATCTCTGTCCCGCCCAGGATTCAACCCAGAATTCTCGACTGTACATCGAGAACGAACCCGACTGTACTACCAGGACCCTTCATAATGTATAAGGTATGTATCGAGTTTTACATTTTTTTAACATGCTTTTTTTAACATGTACTTAATGCCATAATAAATACAAGCCAATACACACAAGTTAAGTGAGGAAAAAAGTTAAGTGATGTGGAGACCAAACCAGTCAGTAGTTTCAAAGCGTTACAGGACACAGAGTACTGGGAAGACGAGATGCTAGAAGCATAGCTCTCATCCTGTAATTACAAATGATTGAAGTAATTTAGCAAATTACTAAGTAATATACTTGGTCCAATCTTTCTCCTCCCCTGGACCAAGCTTCACTAGACTAGAAATATGCATATGTTTCCCGTTTTCAAAAATGGCAGAAAGAGCTCGGCAGTAAATTACCATCCGATCAGCCTAACTGCAAGATCACCACATCTGCAAGCTCATGGCGAGAATCCTAAGGAATTCTCTTAGGAAGTTGCATGCATGTGTGTAGAAACCTACTCACATTTTTGGAAATGGCAATCATCTATTGAAACAAAGACACATCCAGTATATGTATTATCTGTGCTAACAATAGAAGAGGATATGATTGATCAAATTAATGTGGGGGGAAAAGTTAACCCCCTCTCCCCTTGTGCAACCACTATATTTTAAGATGGACTACAAATATAGAAATCCACATAAAGGTCAAAGATGATGAATTTCTAGATTACCAGCGAAGTGACTATCCAGGAATGAGAGAGGAACTGCAAACCATCTCCTGGAGGGAGCTGATGGGCGACCATGGCATGGAAGCATCATGGCAAAATTTCAACAGGGTCATCACTGAACTCTTATAAATATGTGCCAAAAAGAAGAAAAACCAAGAAAGGGAACTCGATGGATGACATAGGTCATAAAATGAGCATTGGTAACCAAGAGAAACCTCTGGAGAACATAGATATTCCCGATGGACATCACTGATTATGAGTTATACAAAAGGGCACTAAACTTGGCCACTCAGAAAATCAGATCAGCTAAAGGAAGCTACAAAAGAAAACTTGCCCAAAACAAAGATCTAAAATCATTCTATGCCTATATAAGAGATGAAATTAAAACAAAGTACTCAGTTGGACCCTTAATAGATGAGACTAACCAAGCTATAATGGATGATAAAAGGGCAGCAAACACACTAAATGATTATTTTACATCAGTGTTCACACTCAAAAGGTTGGATGACATCCCAGCACCCACACAAATGTTTGAAGGAGAATGAATTTAGGGATATACCCATAACATGCAAAATAATTGGAAAGAACATTGACAAACTAAAAGACTCAAAAGCCTCAGATGTGGATGGAATCCAATCCAAAGTCTTAAAGGAACTGGCAGAAGAACTATACCTACTGCTACTTTTCACAAAATCTCTGGACCAAGGGGTTGTTCCCCCTAGATTGGAAATATGCAAATGTCATCCCAATTTAACAAAAAAAGCAGACAGAGCATGGCAGAAAACCACTAGCCGATCAGCTTGACATTACTCACATCTGCAAGCTCACAGAGAGAATCCTCAGGGAGGGAATCATTCACCAGCTTTCAGTGAACAATCTTGTACAATCGACACAACAGGAGTTTGTTAAAAACAGATCCTGCTTTTCAAATTTGCTCACATTTTTGGAAATGGTAACCAGCTACTCAGACAAAGGCCTTCTGGTGGAAGTAGTATACATGGATTTTGTTAAAGCTTTCGATAAGGCACCACATGAAAGACTGGCAAGGAAATTACAGGCCTATGGAATAAATGGTAAAATATTAGAATGGATAAAACAATGGTTAAAGGAAAGAAAACAAAGGATTGTACTAAATGGAAACAAATCTGAATGGAGAATGTGCTAAGTGGGGTGCTACAAAGGTTCATTTTAGGGCCAACACTTTTTGTCATATACATCAATGACACAGATGAGAATATTACAAACCACATCATCAAATTTGCAGATGACACAAAGATTTATGGTAAAGTGGGAAATGATAATGATATTGAGACCTTACACAGAGATCTACATGAACTCCTCAAATGGTCAGAAGACTGGCAAATGTTTTTTAATATTGATAAAAGCAAGACCTTGCATGTGGGGCATAACAACCCATGCCATGACTACCAAATTAATAGTATACATTACAACAGATTGATGAAGAAAAGGACCTAGGTATCAAAATCCACCACCCATTAAAAGTTGTACAACAGGTGGGTGCAACAGTCAGAAAAGCTAACTAAACTCTTGGGATAATCAAGCATACTTTAAAGATGGCATCTGTTTACAAGATCCCTGAGGAAGCTGATGTGAATCCCATGTAGCCGCAGGAGTTTTGAATGGAACGTGAAAAATACAAATACCCGGAGGCGTGTAGCGCACCCCAGACGTGGGCCTGCAGGCGCTTTGCGCAGTTAAAGGGATAAAACACCTATCATTAATTGAAATAGACTGTCATCCAATACCAATATCTACAATATCTACCTATAGAGTAGACAAATCTTCCAACACCCACATTTACCCAAGAGGGAGTAGACATGTCGTGTTCCTCCCCATTACCACACTTACCAGTAGTGGGAGAGGCAGTGCGGCGCAAGATGGACCATCTGAAGGAGTGTCGTACATCAACTACTCGCTCTCTGGCCTTGCCTAAAAAAGGTGTCGTTGAGAGTGTGTACAGCAGCGGGTTGATGGCAGCATTGAGCGGCAGCACGAACACTGCCACCCATGCAAACACCTTGTGTAAGGAAAACAGGGATTTAATTAATTGCTGGGGAACATTAGAATAAGCTTTCCTCACTAAAGCACAAATGTAACTAAACTGAATGACAACATAGCCATGAAAACCACAATTTGAAACTAGCACAAAATAGCTTGAGTGATAAGTTATTGTCATCATAGAGAAGCAAATGCTGGAACTTTGGATTTCACAGGATAGATGATATAAATGTTGAATGACGTTCCATCAGTCAAAAATTACCAAGACCTCTCAAATTTGTTCGGAAGAAGGGGACAATGTATACACCCTCAACCAGTTCTACTACAAATAGTTCATGCACCACTACTGGATATAAAGCTATTGGTAAATCATGTTTATAAAAAAAACAAAAACAAAAATATGGTATTAAATATCCTAAGAGGTTCAGGTACATGGCCCCAGGCCTAAATCCCATAATTACTGCTGTAATTTGCACATCTAAACTTCTGATAGGAAATGATTACAAAGGAAATTGAACATCAACATACTAATAGATCCACCAAACTACAGTATGGTACTGTAAACTCTTTATGAAAAGCTTATGGTGGTACAATATAAGGCATGGGGACATCTTTGCATAAAATTTTAGCCAAGGTCACTGACTTTTTCAAGGTATGCCAAGGCATAATACACTATGGTACAATTGTATCTTGAGGTTATCTTGAGATAATTTCGGGGCTTTTAGTGTCCCCGCGGCCCGGTCCTCGACCAGGCCTCCACCCCCAGGAAGCAGCCCGTGACAGCTGACTAACACCCAGGTACCTATTTTACTGCTAGGTAACAGGGGCATAGGGTGAAAGAAATTCTGCCCATTGTTTCTCGCCGGCGCCCGGGATCGAACCCAGGACCACAAGTCCAGCGTGCTGTCCGCTCGGTCGACCGGCTCCCCAATATAATATGTACTGTATACTGTATAGTGTAAAGTACTGTATAATACAGTACTTAACAAAAATTGTAGAAAAATGTGGATTTAAAAATGTTGATATTTTTCACAACTTATTTACTGAAGGTTATACTGTAAATTGTAATAATATCAACTAATTTTATCACTTTCACTGAAATTTTTCACTATATGATAATGTACAACATTCCTATTTTAAAAATAGTGGTTTATCAACCCTAAAATGAATATTACGATTCAGTTCGTGAACCCACTGATTAATTATTTTTTTTTTTTTTTTTTTTTTTTTTTTAGATATATACAAGAGTTGTTACATTCTTGTACAGCCACTAGTACGCGTAGCGTTTCGGGCAAGTCCTTAATCCTACGGTCCCTGGAATACGATCACCTGCCGCGAAGAATCGTTTTTTTCATCCAAGTACACATTTTACTGTTGCGTTAAACAGAGGCTACAGTTAAGGAATTGCGCCCAGTAAATCCTCCCCGGCCAGGATACGAACCCATGACATAGCGCTCGCGGAACGCCAGGCGAGTGTCTTACCACTACACCACGGAGACTGCGAATAAGTGAGTGTATGCAGTCCCATAATAAACTATGATACAGTGGAGTATGTATGTATGATACAGTAGAGTATTCAATTATACAAAATGTAATTTCTATAATGTTACTAATACTCAGAGCGTTTTGAGCATACAGTAACAATTAAGTCTTAATTTATATGTTTAATGGGGCAACACCTACTAACAATAATAATTTTTATTACAAGAAGGTAAAATGCATTTGTGAGGTTACATAATATTGGTATTTTTCCATTCTTGTAAAGTCACTAACATGCATAGCATTTCGGGCAGGTCCTTAATCTAACATATCAGGTATGAACATATCAGGTAAGATGAACATATATAATTCTTGTAAGAGGCAATACTGTACTAACATATTTGAAGTGGTAAATTTATATATCAAATTATATACAATTTGTCAGTGATATTTAAGGAAGACAGGCATACACTAAAATTACAGTACTTAGCCCACTAGATAACCACTTTAACTTTTTCAATGTATTGCCTATTGTATGAATAAAAAACTAAAATATTATTATTATTATTATTATTACTGTATTAGGGAATATCTGGCCCAAGGGACCAGTGACTATTAACCTGTGGAGGGATGGGGACACCGGCAAGAGAGACAAGGCCCAGCAGTATGATAGGGAGCCAGCAAGCGGCATCTGTCACTACAATGAGAGTCATCTTGGTGGCCATGCTGGACTCCCTCACCTGCTGGTCACTCCTGACGGCAGCGCTGGAGGTGCGTGCAGCTTGATACATACCCCAATATGACCCGGCGATCACAGAAAACGACACCAAATTCAGCACTGTTCATTGAACATAAATTAACAATGGTCACTGTATGTTACACTATAATATTCACAGTTCAGACTATGAATGGTTAAGTTTTAAAATGTACAAAAAGGCAAAGTAGGGAAGTGAACTATAGTATAATACAGTAATATTTAATAATGAAAATACTGAGAATATATAGTTAGATTCAATAGTCTATTATGGAACTCAGACCCATCCTATGAGCATTTGCAGAAATGCTTCAGAATTTCACAATGCACAATTTACAAATAATAATATTGCGTAAAAAATTTCTTCAGAAATGTACAACTTTATATTTGCATTTTGTGAGACAGTACATACATTGGGAATTGTGTGAAACATTCTTGCAAAACCACTAAAACAGTTTTGGGCAGGTTCTTAAGCTAAAAAATAAAGACAACAGAATTTAAGTTAAACATAATTACTATATTACAAACTGATAGAATAGATTATATTGATAAAGTTGAATGTCTTAAGTACTAAATTGGGTGAGTGGGGTAGCACAAAGTGGGACACTGAGGATGAAATTTGGTACATTTTGGTGTTACTTTTTAATAAGGTATAATTTGGACAATTTTTTTATTCATTAGGGAGCGAGTTCCATAGACTGGGTCCTTTTATTTGCATGGAGCTCATGCACAGATTTAGTCTGACTCTAGGAATATCAAAGATATTTATTTCTGGCGTGGTGCTCGTGGGTTCTATTGCATCTATCAAGGAAGCCTTTCAGATCAGGATTAGCATTTACCAGTAGGTATAAGGTTTTGTACATGTAATTAGGATAAGAGACTGTGTGGAGTGAGTATGTTTAGCATGTTTAGGTATTTAAAGAGTGGGGCTGAGTGTTGTCTGAAGGCAGAGTTTGTTATAGTTCAGATAGCAGAATTTTGCTGGGCGATGATGGGCTTGAGGTAGTTTGCAGTGGTTGAACCCCATGCACAGGTACCATATGTAAGATAGGGTTAAATTAACACGTAGTATAATGAGAGGAGAGCAGAGCTTGGAACATAATATCTGATTTTAGAAAGTACTGTATACCAACTATTTGAGACTTTTTGGTTATGTGTTGTATGTGGGTGCTGAAGTCTAGTCTCTTGTGTAAGTATAGACCAAGGCACTCTCCATTTCTTATTGCTGATGTTAACATTGTCTATCTGAAGCTAACTTTAATTTGTTGATTTGCTTCCAAATAAAATGTAATAGATCTTTTCTATGTTTAGTGAGAGTTTGTTGGTTGACACACACAAGTGGACTTTTTAAATTTGTTATTTACATTATTTAATGTGTGTGGGTTTTGGGTCCGTGTAGATGAAGGTAGCACATAGTATAGGTTTAAGAATGTTAGAGACATTAGGCAGATCTTGATGTATATAAGAAATAGAAGAGGTCCTAGGATGCTATCCTGTAGTATTCCTATGGCTAATGGTAGAGTGGGGGAGGTTATATCATTGATGGCTACATATTTGTGTCTGTCATTAAGATAGGATCAAATATGTGTAGTTGAAGGCAAGGCCTTGGATTCCATAATGGTGAAGTTTAAGTAAGAGGTAGTTATGGTTTACAGTATCAAAGGCCTTTCTCAGATCAATGAAGAGCACAGTCGGGAACTCATTTTTGTCAAGGGCTGTGTAGATTATATCAAACAGACTAATGATTGCATCGTTGGTACTCTTTTTGAGAGTGGAAGCAAAACTGACAGGGACTTTGTACTGTATGTTGACTTTTACAAGGTAGGAGTAGAGCTGTTTGTAAATAATTTGTTCAAATATTTTTTTTATAATACATGTATAGGTAGATTTGATATTAGACAGCAATTGTTTATGTCTTCCGTATCGGAGATACGGAAGGAGGTATCGCCTCCTTTATGAACTAAAATATTTAATTTTAGAGAGTATACCAACAGTTTTTTAAACTTTTTTGGCTATGTGGGCACTGAAGTTTATTCTCTTTTTCTATGTATAGACCAAGGAACTTTCCAGAATTGTTAATGCTAATTTTAAAATTGTCTATCTGAAGGTGAATTTGGTTTGATGATTAGTACTTATAAATAAAATGTAGTAAATCTTTTCTATGTTTAGTGAGAGTTTGTTGGTTGACATCCATTTGTGGACTTGTTTAATAAGCTATTTATAATATTATTTAGTGAGTGTGGATTGGGGTTTGAACAGATAATACAGTAGTACCTTCAGCAGTAATAGGTTTAAAAATGTTTGAGACACTTGGCAAATCCTTGATGTATATAAGAAATAGGAGAGGTCCCAAGATGCTGCTCTGTGGCACTCCTACGGTTAATGGTAGAGTGGGGAAGGGTATGTCACTGATGCCTACATATTGGTGTCTATCATTATGATTGAATATAGTTTATTTATTTATTTTATTTATTTATTTATTTATTTATGCATATACAAGAATGTACATAAGGAATGTGAGGATACAAATATGGTAATTACAGTCTTGTAAAGCCACTAGCACGCGCAGCGTTTCGGGCAGGTCCTTAATCTAAGAAAATTTTAAGGAGGTAAATACATGCAAAATTTATAGACAAAAAAATGATAACAGATTACATGAAATGAAAAAAAAAAAAAAAAAAAAAAAAAGATGAGAGAAAATTGTAGGTACAGTATATTAAAGCACATAGGTAGCTAAGATTGATTGCAATGACAGCTTAAAATGGTAGTTGACAACAAATTGGTAGGCACAATACAGCAGAAACAATATAAGATTGATTGCAATGACAGCTTGAATGGTAGTTGACAAAAATTGGTAGTCACAATACAGCATATGGCTAGCACATAAAAGAAGACAGCAATGAACACAATGATAAGGTTGTTTGATATTACATAAAAATTAGGAGATTGGGTAACACTAGGTACAGAGCAAATTTAAAGCTCAGTGTAGGAAACTAAGAAGATGAAGTTAGGTAAGTTTAGAGCAAGGCATCATCACTAATGACACCTGCAATCATATTTACTATGAATGACATCTGTAATTACATTAAAACAGGTACCAAAGAAGTTCCAGTTACAAGCAGGCTTTCCAGTGTACAGCAGCCAGGGCCCAGAAACAGGTCAGGTGAAGCATGGATAAGCTAGTCAGGAACATGGCATCATCAGTCTTAACTCCACCAGTGATTCAGTGACAAACACACTGGATATACCACAGACCTTCTCCAGCACCACCAATATTCATCAGCATATAAATGTTTGTTTGTTTATTTTTATTTTATTTTATTTAGGTAATATGACACGACACTTGACGAGTAGAGTTCCAACTCTCATACCAGATGCTACAAGAGAGCCACTCCCAGCCACATTCGAGGTCTCCTCTCTCACCCCTCATCCAAGCTCTTCACTCTCACCCCTCATCCACTCTCACCCCCTCATCACCCCTGGCCTTACTCGAGCTCTCTGCTCCAGGCAACACAAAAATTTTCCATCTCTGGCCACCTTCAGCATTATGGCCTACATGACTCTGCCAACAGTACATACCAAGCATCCTCGTCTCAGTGAAACATAACATCGTTGTACCATTTCTAACATCCAACTTCTGTAACCAAACTACAATAAATAAACATAAAAACCACCATACTCTTTGAATGCTGTCACCCAAAATCATATACAATACAGACTTATTCAAGACAGGACCCAAGAGCTGAAGATCAACCCCTGTAAGCATAGCTATATAGGCAAGCACAAGCTATGAAGCATCTTTAGGTGGTGCTACAAACTAAGACATTTTACACACGAAGTGTCAAGAAACTACGAGAGTTGTCAAGGAAGTGGTATAAAATAATATAGGCACTTATCAAGGAAATACCTACACTTTACCCACTTTACACTTCAATGCTTTACCCAGGAAGTGCCACAAAATATGAGACAAAGCCAAGGAACGTCAAGCTATGAGATATACCTAAGAAATGATATACCTAGGAAGTGTCAGGTATATTTACTATGGGATATACCCACGAAGTGTCAAACTATTGAACTTACCCAGGAAGACAAACACGGAGTATTCCCATCCACTCGGCTTCTCATGGGTGATGTGTAGTGCCAAACACACACCCGATCTCCCGTAGAAGTTCCTGCCGATGACATGACAGGTGAGAGGCAGCAGTACAATAGCGGGCACATACATACCCCCAAAGCACATTCTATTTGGGCTAACATCAGATAATATGATGCTAGTAATAACTTGCATCACTATAACTCCTGTATAAGCAGCTGATCTTTAGAATAAGATATGTTCTTGATAATTTGAATTCTTTATGCACTCAAGATTCTTAGATGCTGCTCTTGAGAGTTCTTGTTCTAGAGGTAACACTTAGGTGGACTCTTGAATGTTGTATCTAAGAAGTCAAAAAGGCAGTTGGTTTCTCACCGACTTACATCGAGGTTCTCCCGGCAAATAACAGACTATTCCCAGGATGTAACCAACAAAACAATTACCTGACTACTGGGTACCTATTTACTGCCAAGTGAACACGCAGAGGTATCATAACATGTAAAAAAACTTGGTCGGATAGATCATCCTGCCTTTTTTTTTTTGCCTGCCTGAAAATTGAACCAAAGACCAATCAGTTGCAAGTCAACTGCACTGACCACTGAGCTTCAAATCACCATGGATGAGTGGACATAATATACTGACCTGAAGTAGTGTATATCAGTGAGTGGAAGAGCAGCCAGGAGCCCCACACATGCCCACACTACACCCATGATTACCTTGGTCCACCTCATGCTCAGACGGGGCACTCGGAATGGGAAGATAATCACCACCAACCTCTCCAAAGTGATCACTGTTAGGGAGGAAAGGCATTAGTTTTGATATTTTTATTAACAAGGTTAGGTACTCATAGCAATGTGCCACTACTCTATACTATATAAGGGATTGTGGAGTATGGATCCAAAATTATCTGTTATCAAATAGAATATCTTATATCATGGTTGTTATACTGAACACATAGTTTGCTGCATTATACCTTGCAATAATCCTCAAATTATGCTACAATGTACCTGTGGATTACCCTTAAATTTACTTTAATGTACCTACTAATCCTGTCAACTTTCTTATACAATGTAGTTTTTATACTTTCTTACAATGTACCTGTAATATCTTTTTTTAATTTTGCTAGAAATTACCTTCATAAAATTATATGTTAGATTAAGGATCTTTCTGAAACGCTATGCATGCTAGTGGCTTTACAAGATTGTAAAACTTCAATGCTCTGTACTCTCAAACCTAATTAACCTTCTTGTATATTGTCATGAGAATCTCTCAAGAGAAGATTAGGCCTGCTCCATCCTCACCTATTCTACAACATCACATCTGCCTATTCAAGAATTTACAGTAGCAACAATGACGACAACTAGAATTAGATATCTAGACAGTGGTCTACTACCCCTCCTCGCCCCCCCCCCACCACACTTGGCGATGGCTCCTGGATCACTGCTAGTTTGAGTGAGCCGGCTCCCAGTTATCGCTACACCAGCACCACCTGGACAGCCGTCTTTCCATATATATAGAGGCTTACCTTAGCCTTACTCACCCAGAATTCTTCTCCGTGCTCTACTGTTTAGATCTATTGGCATACTTGTGTGTGGTAGCAGGTTTATGCAGACTGGCTCACAGTATTCCCGCACCATTTTGCTGTTTGTACTTTAATGTAATGTAAATTTGATTGTTTGTATTATTCATTTTGCATACTTTGAATAAAGCCAAGTTTGGATACTATTTTTATTTAATGTATTGGTCAAGGTAATTTTCTTGGTAAACTTTTAAATTTTTTCTTTATATGTTTTATCCTACAGTTGCCTCAGTGTGAAGTTAAATAGCAGTCTAACTTTTTTTACTTTTTTTGCTTTATGTGACTGGCATTCCATCTGCCCTAGAGAGACTGCGCTACCATCCATTTTGCACGTCACAATATAAATAAATAAATAAATAAATAAATAAATAAATAAATAAAATAAATAAATAAATAAATAAATAAATAAATAAATAAATAAATAAATAAGTTAGTAACCTCATTCTGGAGACATTCATGTATCAACATGTCAAGCAGGCCACAAGAATAAGGGAGATAATCCATCAATACTGGATCTAATCATGTTCTGTTGTTAATTAAATATGCTTTGCGATATAATCTAGAAGAAAATGGGGACATTGAAACAGTTGATAATTTGATTTCAAGAGAGGACACTGTGGGGAACTTAAATTCTTTAATGAGTTTAATTGGGCAGACTTGTTGCTAGGTAAGGAAGTAAATGAGATGTATGCCAAAATTTGCAAAATACTGTATACAATGAAGGCACACAAGCATTCATACCAAAGCAGAGATGCAGGACCAGAAAACAGGATTGGTTCAACAGAAATTGTGAGAGGGGCCAGAGAGGAAAAGACAAGAAAATAGGTTCAATATAGGAAGAGGCCTAAGCCACAAATATACCAGCACTACAAGCAAGCAAGAAAATTACAAAGCAGTGAGAAGAGAGGCAGAAGGGAACTTTAAGAAAGGTATAGCTGACAACTGTAAAACAGATCTAGGCCTTTTCTACAAATTCATTAAAAGCAAGCTGCATATAAAAGATAAAATCCAGAGATAGAAAATGGGGAATAAGACTAATGAGAATGAAAAAGAAATGTGAAATGCTAAATGAACAGTTCCAAAGTGTATTTGTACAAAATTAGGATTTCAGAAAGCCAGACCAAATGCAAATTCCAGAACACACCATAGAATACGTAGAGGTATCTTAAGACGAAGTGGAAAAATTAATCATGGGGCTAGGAAGAGATAAAGCGATTGGACCTGATGGAGTTTCACCTTAGGTGCTGCGAGAATGTGCAACTGAGCTGAGCATTCCACTCCAGTTAATATTCCAGACATCCTTGTGCACAGTAATCTTAGCAAATATAAGGAAAAAGGTAAACAGCACTGTACCAATTTCTAAAAATGGTAGTCAAGAGGAACCTCTAAATTATAGATCCGTGTCATTAACAAGTGTGGTAGTCGAAATACTGGAAAAAATAGTTAAAGACAAATGGGTTGAACACCTAGGGAGTAATGACATAATAACAGACAGACAGTATGGTTTTTGATCAGGAAGATCCTGTGTAACAAATCTACTTAGCTTTTATGATAGAGCCACAGAAATACTACAGGAAAGAGAAGGTTGGGTTGACTGTGTCTATCTGGACCTAAAAAAGGCTTTTGATAGAGGCAAACAAGAGGCTATTCTGATAACTGGAACATGCTAGAGGGGTGACGGAGACTTCTAACATGGATGAAAAATTTTCTAACTGACAGATAGATGAGGGCAGTAATCAGAGACAATGTATCTGACTGGAGGAGTGTACTGGAGCGGAGTACCACAGGATTCAGTTCTTGCACCAGTAATGTTCATCATCTACATAAATAATCTACCAGAAGAAATACAGAATTATATGAACATGTTTGCGGATGATGCTAAGATACTGGGGAAGATAGGAGGCGCAGACGACTGTAATGCCCTTCAAATTGATCCAGATAATAATAAGTGCTTGAAGCATCAAGTAGCAAATGGAATTCAATGTGAATAAATGCCATGTTATGGAATGTGGAATCAGAAAAAATAGACCATGCACAACTAATTAATTATGTAGAACGGAATTCCAGAACTCTAATAAAAAATGAGACCTAAGGGTGGTTCTGGATAATAAACTGTCGCCAGAGGAACACAAAGAACATTGTAAGAGGAGCGTATGCCTCACTTTCCAACTTCAGACTTGCTTTTTATTATATGGATGGTGAAATACTAAAAAAAATGTTCATGACTTTTGAAACTATAATTGGAATATGCAGCAATTTTATGGTGTCCAAATCTCAAGTAGCATATAAATAAACTGGAAAAGGTGCAATGGCATGCGACAAAATGGCTTCTGGAACTGAAAAACAAGAATTACAAGGAGACTAGAGGAGTTAAACATGCTAAAACAAGAAGATAGAAGAAAGAGAGGTGATATGATCACCACTTACAAAAATACTAACAGGAATAAACCAAATTGACAAAGAGGAATTCCTGAAACCAGCAATTTGACAAAGAGACACTGCTTCAAGCTAAGAAAACAGACATCCTGAAAAAATATTTGAAAATCTTCTTTTGCAAACAGTGTTGTAGACGGTTGGAACAAATTAAGTGAGGTGGTGGTGGAGGCCAAAACCATCAGTAGTTTCAAAGCGTTATACAACAAAATGTACCGAGAAGATGGGACACCATGAGCGTAGCTCTCATCCTGTAATTTCATCCTCCCACTTAGGTAGTTACCAGAAATAAATAAAATGTTAAGACATTCCTAGGGTCACACTAAATCTGTGCAAACACCCCGTGCAAATGAAGAACCCAGTCTATGGAACTCGCTCCTTAATGAATTAAAAAATTGTCCAACCTTTGCTTTATTCAAAAGTAAAACTAAATTCATTAGTACCTAATTTCATCCTCATAGTTTCCTACCTTGTGCTACCCACTCACCCAATTTTAGTACTTAAAACTTGCAATTTCACCAAGATAATCAATGCGATCAATTTATATTGTATATATT